AGTGCGTGGTTGTCGGTGGCCATCTCGGTGAGTGCCGACCATGGAGACCCCCGTGACGGGGTCTCGTGTTGTCCCGTTGGCTTTTGGAGCTCTACATGCCGCGTGTCCTCGATGCGTGCTTCCAAATATGTTTCGGCCTCTCCAGCAATGGTAATCTGCCGTCGCGAGCGGTCTGCGCCGGAGGTCTATCCTCCTCTTGGGCGTGGCCGCCCGTCGCTGGCGCGTCTGCCAAATCCTCATACTCTGAAAAGTCCCCATCAAAGCCTGCTACCGCGTCGGAGACTCCATCAAAGCCTGCTACCGCGCCGGCCGCAAGCCAGGGGAAACGCGGAGATATGCGCCCCATGCGACGCAGCTACATCGCGAATCGAAAGATCGCCGGGCAGGCGGGGGCGCCGCGCAAGCCGACCTGCGATAGGGAAACCCACGCAGTGAACCGCGTTGCGACAAGAGGGAGGAGGGGATAGGGGGGAGGAAAGAAAGAGACATGGTCAGGACAAATATTAGAATGCGCTGTGCGCGAGCATCCCATGGCCCCGCCAGCCAATACATATATATATATATATATATATATATATATATATATATATATATATAATATACTAGAACCACGCGCGCGCTGCGCGCGCGCTTTGGTTCTAGCAAGATGCGGCGACGGTCTAGGGTTCGCAGCATCGGAGAGCAGAAAGACTTCTATCAATCATGATCAATCAGCAAACCGCACCATCCCTCTATGCCCCCACGGATGCACGCCATGAGCCCCAGTCGACCTTAATCCTGCATTCTCCTCTCAGCAAACCCTCTCAATCCCTTTCCTTTCCGCACCCTTTTTGGCGGACCAATGGAATCACATTCCACGCGGCAGGGGAGCTGTTGCGGGCGCGGTGGACGAATTTCACTCGGCATGCAACGCGAAAAAGTATGTTCGTTGTCGACGCGGTGGACGTGTTCCACTCGGCGTGCAACCATGAAACATACAGACGGCCGCAGGTCGAAATAGGATTCCGCATGATTCCACTTCAGCTGCCTACATACCCTTTGTTTCATTCCCAGGGGGGCGCCTCGAGAAAACAACTCACACACGTACAGCAGCAGCTCGTGTGTCCACCGGGGGGAGGAGGGGGGGCGGGCCCCAGTGCTTAATCAACCCCGGTTGAAGCAACCGCTTTAAGCAGCCAAGATCTGGTCTTTGGGGAGAAGGGAGCGGGGGCCCGCGCCGATCGGCGAAACAAGACATAAGAAACAGCTACGTACCTCTCAAGACGGCTCAATGGGCCCGATTTCGGCACACCCCTCACGCACTCTACGCCTATCCAAGGCCTAGACGACCCAGAGCGTCCAAGGCCCCGCGACGAAAATCTTTACAACGATGGGCTGTCGTGAAGGGTTCTATGGTGCGCCCACCTTCGTCGTGCAACCACCGCCCAAAATTTGCCAACACTGGGCCACCCTGAAGGTTTGAACGGTACGCGCCAAAAAAAATCGACAACGAAATGATCGATCCGACGGTCTTCCCAGTACCGCGGCGACTGCCGGGACTGATCCGAGTATTCGCTTCCTTTGTGGCGGCTCTGAAAAAAAGTACACCCACCTCAAAAAGCCAACGTCTCGCGTGAGATATCCCCGAATGCTGACCGCAAGTGGGCAAATGTCCCACCCCGTGGTCGCTCCCCATTGTGGCGCCCAGCAACGTTTGTTGCGACATCGCGAACACCACGCGGCCCTGAAAAAGACGCGCCTACATCCGTGAAACAAGCGAACCGCTGGAGACATCCCCACAATCTGGGCACGAACCGGTAAGTGTCCTAATTATCCCCTGGCGGCACCCCCTTGTGTTGCCCAAGTGCGAGGCCTGTCACATCGCGATAATTCTGATCGTGATATGGAAAAGGAGGAGGAGGAGGAGGAGGAGGGAGTGAGTAGACGGAAGCGCGACACGGATAACAAGAATTCACGACGCAAAACACGGAAATAAACGCCGCAACATATTCCACGAGACGTGCAACTGCCTGCACAATGATCCGTTATCACCGTCGCACCCTTGATCCGCACGCGTTCGACGGAAACTGGCGGCAATCAAACTGGCCCAATCTGCCAGGGCATCGCTCGTGGGGGGAGGGCCTCCTCGCCTCGGGCTGCTCTCCCGCAGCCGCGCCCCGCCGTCGACGGCGAGCGCGCGCCTTGTGGGTGCCCTGACCGTCCCGGGCGGCCGCCGCGGGTCCGGCGCCGATCTAGGACATCCGCGCGAGAACCTCCGAGCTTTTACTTCTACGGCAGCGTTTGCTCCATCGAAGGAGTACGATGGCCATGGCAGACTTAGCTGCCCCGAAACGCAACACGCAACACGTACTGTATCGATGCGGAGCTCAACACGTAGGCTGAAAACGTAGGTCTGACGCGATACATTCGCCAAAACATGGTCCAAAACGTGGAGCCGAAATGGGTACGGAAAGAATGGGTACAATGCCCAACAACAAATGCTGTCCCAAACCAACAGCGGCCGCTGTTGGGCAGGCGGCCTTCTGCCTCGAATGGACACAGGCCGCGGCGGCGCAGACAGCGAGTCCTGTTCAAGATGAACAGGAACCCATTCTTTCCGTACCCATTTCGGGCGTCCAGATTTACGACAGCGCTTGCTGCTCGAAGAAGTACGATGACCATGGCAAACATGTCGAAAGATCTTGTAGACGCCAGCTTCGGTCATGGTCCATGCCCCCGCCACCGATTCGCGAAGATGGTCTCCGAATTGACGATGCCCGAGAGCCTTCGACGTTTCCGCGTTCAGTCCGGCTAATCCGCGGGACAGGAATCTCCGCGTAACCAAAGTTTCTCCGAGGTTCTCGCGGACTTATTGGATCGGCGCTGGACCCCCATCCTTGGCGCGCGGAGCGCACCAGAGGTGGCGCCGGAAATGCCGCCCGTGGCCCAACGCGGAGCCCCGAGTCATGGCCCTCGTTCTCTCTTCGGGGCGACCGAAATGGGTACATAAACAATTGGTACTAAATCCAAGGGCAGCTCTGGTTCATTCAGAAAGAGATTCGCTGTCGGCGCCACCGCGGCCGTCGTTCATTTCAGACAGAAGCTCGCCTGCCCAACAGCGGCCGCTGCCGGTTTTGGACAACATGTAATGTTGGGCATCGTCCTACTCTCTTCTCCTGCTAACTGCATCCACATTCACATGTTTCGATGATGTCCCCGATGCCGCGCGAGAGGGGCGAGGGTCCTCGCTGCACTATTCAACGCTCTTTCGCCCAGGCTACAGCATTTTGGGGTGCAGACCTTTCGGGTGTCCACCTTGAAGGGGCCCTGGGACACACAAATAAATACACACAAATATAAGTATTCCCATATTTTCCTATATTTTCTGGGTTTCTGTCTCCCCCTCCACTTCCCATATTTTCATATATTTTCTGGGGGATCGGGGATTAATTGTGTCTGTGTTTTTTCTCCTCCTGATAGATTTGCTCATGTCAGCGTTGCGCGAGCACGCCCCCGACGGCACCCTGCAACCACAGTGGTCCAGTGCGCCGTGCCCCCCGCCGCCCCAGAGCCCTCGAGGCGCCCTGCGCAGGCGGGAGCCCCCCAGCAAGGAGTAATGTTAAGTCGGGCCTGTCCCCCATACAGGGTGATTTTCGACGAAAAATTAGAAATACCCCCAAAATAACAAAAAAATAATCCAAAGATAGTCTGGGGACTTTTTTTTTTTGTGCCTTTTTGGGGCATTTGGGGGTATTATCTATTTTTCGTCGAAAATCCCATTGTAATTAGGGGGACGCGCCCGACATAAGAGTAATGCCATGCGGCGTCCGTGGTGATCGAGGAAAGCTTGCGGCCTCATATCGGGCGTTGGCAGAACTGGGTTTCGTGTTCTGTACTGGGGGCGCCCCCCCGTCCCATTTCCACAAGCCGGAAGTGCCGTCACCCGAAAATGCACCAGCTATGGCAAACCTGGTTTAGTGATTCTGGCCGAGTCAAAGGCTCCGGGGCCCTACCACTGACCGGGTCCCCTCACCTGGGGTCCTGGCCATACCCGGTCATATTGCAGACGCATGCGATCAGACATCTTGTTGCGAGAAAACTCGGGCGGGCCTCGCGCGACACCTTTAGACCCAATGTACATTGGATCCACGTCGGATGTACTTCTTGTACACGTCGGAATGCGTCGGACCTGCGTCGGATTCACGACGTATTGGCGTCGATATATCGACGCGCGAACGTCGTCCCCTGTTTGCCGGGCTGGACGTGGGCACTAGATACTACAACTACATCACGCCGCACGAGGCCCTCCAGGATTCTCCTTATAGATCTTGGAGGGGCCCTGGGACACACAAATAAATACACACAAATAAATACACACAAAGAACAGGATTCCCCATATTTTCCCATCTTTCTCTGGGTTTCTGTCTTCCCCCACACTTCCCACATTTTCCAGCATTTCCCTGTGAATCGACGACTCTTTTTGTCTGAGTGTTTCTGCCCGAGACGTGCAATCTTGAGATATTGCAATGAGTCGTGCTTGGGCGCAATGTTTGCCGATTTCTGCGGGGAGGTCACGGCCGCCTGCGGTCAGAGCCTCTGCTCAGCGTGCCGCGGCGGCAGCCCCGGCGGCACGCCATGCCCCGCGACCTGGTAGCGTGTCGCTCTGCTCCGCGGGGCGGGGACGGGGGGGGGGGACGCTCGAGCCGCCGACACCTTCGGGACTGGGACGTGGCTAGCATCAGGGGGCAAACAAACCTACCTCGCTTTTGACCACCCTCGCTTCCAAGAAATACCAAGCGATGCCGAACTACGGCATGTACTGGTCAGGCCGCTTGACGAGGAGGCGTATGGTATGACTGGGTTTTGCCTGGAAGCGAAACCGGGGTAGGTAATTCACGCTCCGAAGCATATCGTGCCGAGGCGCGGCTGGCCAGAACTAGCGGCGCGACACGCTGAGGCAGAGCTCAAGGCCGTAGGATGCGTGCTGCGCAGCGCCCTCCACAAACGGAGGGAGAAATGTCCTCCAATTTGTCGTAGGCCCCCCTCCCGTCGCCCACGTATGACCTCGCGCGGGAGGCTGTAACGGGCGCACCTGCAGAATTCTGCACGTGGAACCCTCGAGGAACAAACAGCAAGTTCGACCAAAATCCGAATACGCAGGGCACAGCATGTTACCGGACGAGGCCGAACTTGTGCCGATCCCGAGCTCTACTCGACATCCTCACGTCGGGCTCGCATCGCTCACCTGAAGAACTCGTGCAGACAAGTGTTCAAACCACAGGGAAGGGAAATAGACGCACTTCCCGAGGCCCATGTCCCGCAAGAGCTTCCAGACAACTCACGGAGCAAGCCGAAAGCCAGGTGGCCACCCGACCCGCCGCACGAGCCCTTGCCCGTCGGCTTGTGCCCGAGGGTCCACGACGGCTGGCGAGGGCGAGCCCGCAGGACGGGCGCGGAGGGGCGAGGAAGGGACGCCGGCGACCTCGAGAGGACGGGAACAGCGAGGGGAACGATCTGTGGGAAAACACACACACACACAGTGAAAAAAAACACAGGCTGTGTGTGTGTTTCCCACAGTCTGTGTTTTTCCCCACAATGTTTTTTTCCCACGTGTGTGTTTACCCCACAGTGTGTTTTTTCCCACAGAGTCGCCCGCGGGAAAGCCGAAGGCCGGAGCCCGCTCCCGAGGTACGATGTCGTGGTGTCTTGCGCAGGCCGTCGAGCTTTCTGAGAGAGCTGGACGCACGGACGGGACGAAAAAACGGACGACAGCACGCTGCATGCGCCAAGAGAGAAGGGCAGCGTTGAATCTATCGATTCGTGGAGGGAGAGAGGAGGGGACGACGGCAAAAGAGTCAGGAGAGTGAGACGGAAGGGGGTGGGGGAAGGGGGGGGGGAGGTTGAGGAGTGGAGGAAGGATCGGGAGAGGACTGGCGGTGGGGACAGGGGAAGAAGCATGGGGGAGGGAGAGGAAAAAAGGGATAGAGAGATAGAGAGAGATAGAGAGAGGCGACTCGAGGGGAATGACATCAAATCCAACGTGATCTCTCGTGGACGGGCCGATCACACTGTCCCAACTTGCATCTGAAAAGCACCCTCGCACATACATTGCCTAGAACTGCTGGACAAGCTCCCCGTGCCTGTGGAGGGCTTCCGCTGGCACGTCTGCACGCTTCTGGAAGGCCGTTGGCGTCGAAGTCCTAGACGGCGCAGGCCCAGAGATAAGCCCCTCCGAAGCCCTGGCAGGACCAACGAATCCCTCCAGAGCAGTGCTCCTAGAGCCTCGACGTCCATGGCCACCACGTGCGCTGCGCCATGGGGAAGGGGCACGGCTGAGGAGCAGACCATGTGGACGGCTCTGGCGGAGGCGACGGAAGAGACTATCAAACTCCGTCGCCTGCTCCTCTCCCGCGCTTGCGCTTGCGCTTGCGCTTGCGCCTGCTCCTCTCCCGAGCTGGACCCAGACAATCCCGAGGCTCTCGCCATGGAGGCGGAGGCTACAAGGGACAAACAGATGAAAGAGCAACACCATGCTCCTTATGTGAACTGCTCCCCGCGGCTACGTTCAACAACATATTGCTTCGGTGAAATGTTCTTCGCGGTTGCGGCCCAGGTTGTCTTGCTCTCGAGACTTGTCCCCCCCCGCTCCCCATCCGGTTTGATCAAACAAACAAAAAAATAACTCCTTGATGGGCCGCGCGCATTTCTTGGATCGGATCGGCGCTGGACCCCCCCGTTGGCACGCGGAACGGCGCAGGAGGCGCCGCCAGGGGGCCCCAAGCGCCGATCCAAGAAATCCGCGAATCGGCGAAAATCGGCATTCTAAGAAGGCCTCCATGGAGAAACCGAAGTCTGGATGGGAGTCCGACGCCACCTCGAATCGGAATCGGCGTCGATCGACTCCGAACCGAATCGAGCCTGAGGAATTGAGCCGGGTGTCCTCGACAAGTGCGAGGGCACGCAGGCGCACGCAGAAGGAGGAAAGAGGAGGAAAGAGGAGGGGGAGGAGGCGGAGGAGGAGGAGGTGGAGGAGAAGGTGGAGGAGGAGGAGGAGGAGCAGGAGGAGAAGGAGGTGGATGAGGAGAGAGGAGGAGGAGGAGGATGAGGAGAAAGGAGGAGGAGGATGAGGAGAGAGGAGAAAGGAGGAGGAGGAGGAGGAGGAGGAGGAGGAGGAGGAGGAGGAGGAGGAGGAGGAGTGCGGGATGAGCCCTGGTGACCCGCCGGCGCACGCAGGCGGCACCCACCGCCGCGCCCGCGGTGGGCGGGGCCGCGCACAGGCGGGGCCGGGGAGCGGCTCGTGGCTGCCGGCCTCGCCGCGCACGGGCGGCACACGGCGGAGGCCTCGCAAGGTCGGAGGGCGGCGCCGAATCGCCCTCCGATCTGTGTGGGGAACGGTGGGAGGGGCCCAGGGACGCACGAATGAACAGACACGAATCCAAGGGTGCCCCATGTGCGGGAGGGCGGCGCCGAGTGGCCCTCCGATCTGTGTGGGGAACGGTGGGAGGGGCCCAGGGACGCACACATGAATGGGCACAAATCCCAGGGGTCCCCATATGCTCCATGTTCCATTGATGTTCGTCGCCCCCTCCACTTCCCATATGTTCCAAATTTCTCCTGGGAGGCGACGATTCTTTGTGTCTGCGCTTTTTTCCCCTCCTCGAGCAAGCGATGGCATGAACTGACCATAAAGACTCGGAGGTCCGCGCGGATTCCTCGGATCGGCGCTGGGGCCCCCCTGGCGGCGCCTCAAACGCCACCCCTCGTGCGCACCGCGCTCCGGGGAGGCGGGTTCCAGCGCGGATCCAGGGAGTCTGCGCGGCCCTCCGAGTTATTGTGTTTGTGTTACGGTTTGCTCCCCTATACGATCTTGCATTCCGCACTTAGTTTGTTCCGTTGGGCAGTTGACGACGCCACCGCCAGATTGAGCAGTGCGAAAGCATGCGTTCGCAGGCGAACGAGTATTAGGCCGCCTCCGCACAGAAGGTGGAGGCCTCGCATACGGGGTCCGAGTAGAATGGGGTCGGAGGATGGCGCCGAAACGCAAAGCATCGGCGATGCATCGGTGATGTCGGCGGTGTATCGGCGTCGTCGGCGCTGTCGGCGCGGAAAACCTCGGGCTCCGCCATGGTGTCCGAGAAGATGGGGTCCAGAAATGGCACTCATTCGGCTCTTCTTTCTTATATTTCATTTACGGACGGTAAACTTTTGCTTGGCGTGTTGCGGCGGCGGCCCTGGCGACACGCTATGCCCTGCAAGCGGATAGCGTGTCGCTCCGCTCTGCGGGGCGGGAGACTTGGAAACGCCCAGTACGCTGACGCTCGGGGACGGGGAATTGGATAGCGAGTCGCGCTGGATCGCGGTGGGCCAGAACCGGCTGTGCGACACGCTATGCCAAAATTCCCGACCGTAGTTTGATGTGGGGCGCATGTTGACGACTGCACCGCCAAAATAAACAGTGCGAAAAGTAGGCGTTCGCTGGCGAGCGAATAGTATGGAAGCCCCGTGCCAAATCTTGATAGCGCATCAAGGGCACTTAGCGGTTCTCCTGAGGCATCGCCCCTCAAAGAAATATCACCAAACTACAGAATTATCATCCAGAGCGTTTTGGGGCGGCACCGTCGCCAAGTAGGAGCTTGCGGCAGTGAAAAGCTTGACAGCATACATCACTGATGCATCGGCGATGCATCGCCGACGTCGGCAGTCCATCCGCGCTGTCAGCGCGGAAAGCATCGGACTCCACAGCGCGCCGCATCGCCGATGCATCGGCGCAGGGGGCGCGACCTTCCGAACCCGTCCACTCGGGCCCCATTCATGGGAGTCCTGGGCACAGGCCGGGCAAGAGCGGCTGTGGCCTCCCCGCCACACCTCGCAGAGTGTGGGCGGGGGAGCACTGCTGCAGGCCCGGCACAGGCATTAACTGGAGCGACTTGTGGCTCCCCGCCTCACCACGCACGGGCTGACTGACGCTGCCCCTGAGCGTTCGGGTCATAATGCGGCTCTCCGGCGGCCGCTCCGGACGATCGGGGCACCCCCGCACGCCTCTCGGCGAGGCGCTGCTGCTGGAAGACACCATTGTAGGCTGGAAAGCCGCCAGGAAGCGACGAGAACGGCCCGAGAACCTCGAGCCTCCAGGCAGAGCAAGAACGACTGTGGCCTCCCCGCCACGCCGCGCACTCGGGCGGGCGGGAGCACTCCTGCTGGCTCCGCACGGGCAGGTCCGAGGCGCCAGGCGGACGGGCGACGCGAGAGGGAGCAGCTTCGGGGGCAGGTCCGCGCGTCACGCTGCGGGCCAGACCTGCGGCGCTGGGGGGAGGCCCTTCCTCCTCCTCCCCTTCCCGTCCCGTCTCCTCCTCCGCCCCCCTCCATCGCCCCCCCTCCCCCCCCCCTCACATCCTCTCCCCCTCCCCCTCCGCAAGTACACAATATGAGCACTGATGTCTCCTCTCCCTCGAATCCGTACTGAGAGCGTTCGCCCCCCATCCGCGTCCTGATCTCTTTTACGCAGGATGTGCGCGAACATGTTTCTGCATGCGCTTCTGTTGTACAACACGGTTTGGCTGCAGCCTTTCTAAAAATAGTGCTCCCGAGGAAGCGCAAGCCTCCCCTCCGCTTCCCCTCCCCTCCACCCTCCGCTTCCTCCCCGCCCTTCCCCTCCCCCTCCCCCCCTCCCCCTCCCCCTCCCCTCCCCTCCCCCTCCCCTCCGCTTCCCTCCCCGCCCTTCCCCTCCCGACCGTAGCCATTTTGGCTCAAGCGAGCCGCGCGCTTCGGGAGGCCCTCGCCAGCGCGCCTGCTCGGGCGCAGGCGCGCAAGCGGCCATGGAGGACGTCGCCTTCTTCAGCAAGAGTTCCGGACGCCGCTGCCGCGAGTGCGAGGACGCTCGCGCGTCGCCGTCGGCGGCAACATCGTCATGAAATCGGACTTTCGCGTGCTCAGGCGCTGCAGCGGCGCTTGGTCCTGCTCCGCGATGGACTTACCGCCCACTGGGACCTGAGCGACGCCATCGGCGGCCACCACCCCAAGATGGGCGACGCCCTTGCTGCTGCCGATCTTCTTGGGGCTGTGTCGCCCGATCTCATCGCGTTGGCGGCCGCAGCCTGTGCTGACAGCAACTGGGCTCGGCACGCGCCACTAGGCGACACGCCTGCCATCCCCAAGATGCCGATCGGCATCAGCCTGGTCTCTCTCGAGCTGTTCCGTGCCGCGTTATACCACGGCCAATACGACTTCGAGCAGAAGACCGTGGACGACCTGCTGGGTGCCCTGCTGTGTGATGGCGATGTTCCTCACCCTGGCGACCCTCATGCTCCTGCAGATGAGCCTTCTGTGCGTGCAGATGTGCCTCATCGTGATGATGAAGAACTTCCTGGTGGTGCTTTTCCTGCTGAAGCGGTTCATGGCGTTTCTCCTGCCGGCCTGCCTGATGAGCTACCTGACGATCCTGGGGCTCATGGGCTACCTGATTTTCCTGGTGGAGCCGCTCTTCCTGAGCTACCTGACGATTCTGGTGGAGCCGCTCTTCCTGATGATGCTGATCTTCGTCTTCCTGCTCGTAGGCGTGACCAAGATCGATGCGCTGATCTTCATGGCGTGGGCGGTGCTCGCTGGTGGACTGCCCGCCAAGCCATCGCCGACGCCTGGCTGCTGCGCCCTGATCGCGATGATCCTGTCCTCCGCGCTGGGCCCGCGACTGCTGAAGTTCAGAAACTTGCTGCTCCTGTCGCTGGTCGCGACAACATCGGGTTCACGTTCGCCACGAACTCGTTCCGACCTGGTTCGTCTGTCTACGACTCGTCTGGCGGAGACTGGTACGACAGCATGCCCAGAGGCTGGAGGCTGACGCCGCACCGCTTCAAGCGGGCTGTAAGACGCCCCCCGCGCGCCTCAGTTGCCCTCCCCGCGACCTCCCCTCACTCCCGTCTGTGTGTCTTGTTGGGGGGCGGGAATGGGAGGGATGGAGGATGAGGAGGCTGTCTTGAGATCTCTCTCTAGTTGCCGCCCCGTTTGATATAATAGATTGTCCAGTGTTGGCGCTACCACACGTCCGAGGATGATCTTTTGAATTGCAGGTGCGTTCGGGCCCTCGAGGTTTCGTGCCCCTGTTTGTCGGTCGTGGCCCTCCGCCTCGTCTCTGTCTGGGTTCCTGGGTCCGTCCCTCGTTCCCTTTTCGGTCCCCTGCGGGCCCCTTCGCTCGTCGTCGGAGCAGGAGTGTTCGGCAGACGTTCACCCGCGAGCAAATCAAAAAAAAACCCTTCCCCTCCCGTCCCCGGGCCCACGGGCGGAACGCGCGCGCGCGACGGGCTGCTCCCGCGGGCCGAGGGCCACGCGGCTACCACAGCCCCACGGAGCACTGCCTCCCGCCCCCCCGTGAATCGAAAATCTGCCAGGACACGGCAGCACGTGGACAGACAAACTGGCCATGGCGGGTGCATCAGGATAGCTGTGCAAGGCGCTCCCTCCTTCCCGTCCTCGTCCTTCCCCCCTTCCTCCCCGCCCCCACCCCTTCACAAAGGGGGGGGGGGGGGAACGGGGAGAGGCGCCCAGGGGCAGACCCGGGCTCCCTTCCCGACCTCCTTGTCTCCGTTTCCGTCGCCCCCCGCCTCCCGCAGACCAAGGCCAGGCAAACGCAGGGGGGCTCCCCACGAAGCAGTCGCGGAAGCAGAAAGGCTGTGCCTCATCCTCACTGCTCCTCCTCGCTCCTCCCCTCCTCCTCCTCCTCGCTCCTCCCCTCCTCCTCCTCCTCCTCCTCCTCCTCCTCCTCCTCCTCCTCCGCCTCCGCCTTCACCTTCGCCTCCGCTTCCTACTCCTCCTCCTTCTCCTCCTCCTTCTCCTCCTCCTCCTACTTATCCGCATCCTCATCCTCATCCTCATGCTCACCTCCCCGTCCTCCTCCTCCTCCTCCACTTCCTCATCGTCTGTGTTGTTTCTTGCTGCTTCGCATGATGTTGCAATCCGATTGTGTTCGGTGCTTCAAAACGTTGCTCTCGCTGCAGCGTGGGCCTCATGTTCGGATCAACGCTTTGCTCCCATCGTTCAGAATGGCGTTATCGCCTTGGCGCAGGCCACTTTTTCTGGATCCGAATCCATTTTCATCGTTGTCGCCCCCCTCATTTCCCTCCGTTCCTCATTCTCTTCCCGTGTCTGATGAATGATCTCCTGCTCCTCCTCACCATGGCTCCTCTAGAGCCATCCCAGATGGAGTCAGAGTAAATGAGATCGGAGGATCGCCCGCATCGCCGATGCTTCGCCGATGCTTCGGCAATGCTCGGCGACGTTGGCGATACATCGCCGCCTTCGGTATGGAGAAAGTCTGGCTCCACATCGAGCCGAATCGCGGCGCGAAGCTCCGACCCATCTACTCGGACCCAATTGGGGAGGCATGGATCGACTACACGCAGAGTGGCCCTGGGCAAACGTGACCTTTGGTGCGCGGATTGTCGATCGTCGAACGCGACGCGGCGATAATTAGCGGCATGCGTGTCTGGGAGGCCCCCTGGCGCAACCCAGAACCCGCGCACCAAAAGTCACTCCGGCGGAGGCTGGAAGCGGCCCGCGGAGCTAACTGGCCGGCACCGCAGAGCATCGGTCAGGAGGGGGAAATGAAGGCCACATGCGCTCAGCCCCCGGACCCCGCCGAGGGTCCGCCTGGTGCAGTTTGTGACCGTGGATGCGATTCCACCGCTCCAGCACCCGAAGAGGGCCCCCCGAGGCAGAACGACAGAGCCCCTCCCGAGGCCTCGAATCCTCCTCCTCCTCCTCCTCCTCCTCCTCCTCCTCCTCCCGCCCAGCACTGGCCAGAGCCAGTGCTGGGCCACCTCTTGCCCCCACAGCGGCTCCGAGGCGGAGGGTCGCTCTGCAGGGCGCGTGGCCGGCTGGAGGCCCCCCCCGCCCCCAGAGAAGAGCCCCGACGGCTGGCGACGGGCTATACTCACGCGCAGCCCAGGCGAGCGCCGTGCTCCCAAGAGGGCCGCCTTGGCTTGGACGGGCCGGCCTGCAAGTCAGCGCCAACTGCACTCGGGCCCCAGTGTGCGAAGCCCGGAGGCCCCCGTGCCCCCCGAGACGCCCCGCCGAGCCGGCGGAGGGCCACCCCTCGCGTGCAGCCGAGGCGACCGCAGCGCTCCCCAGCGGGCGGGGAAGGTCGCCTGCTGCGGCCCCGCCCCGCGCCGCCCCCACGCCGCCATGGCGAGCGCCGCCCCGGCCGCTCCCGCAGCGGCCGCCGGCACCTGGGCGGCGGTCGACGAGGGCCCAACGTAGAGACCCCCCCCCTGCGCATCCCCTGTGGTGTCGAGAATCTGCCATGCCTGCTGTGCCATGCACGACCGTCACGGACAGCGGCTGCGGTGAGAGACCCCCCCATGCGCACCCCCTGTAGTGTCGAGAATACGCTATGCTTGCTGTGCCATGGACGACCGTCACGGATAACGGCCGCGGTGAGATACCACCCACTGCGCATCCCCTTATTGTGACGAGGCAGCGCCATGCCTGCTGTGCCATGGACGACTGTCACGGATAGCGGCCGCGGTGAGAGACCACCCCCTGCGCACCCCTTTTATGGTGTCGAGAAAATGCAATGCCTGCTATGCCATGGGCGACCGTCACGGATAGCGGCCGCGGTGAGAGACCACCCCCTGCGCACCCCCTATGGCGCTGTGTGTCAATGTGCTGTGTGCTGTGCTCTGCTGTGCTGTGCTGAGCTGTGCTGTCCTGTGCTGCGCTGCGCTGTGCTGCGCTGTGCTGTGTGAGAAGGAGAAAGAGGGGGAGGTGTGTGTGTGTGTGTGTGTGTGCGGGAGACGCGGGTGCGACGCGGCAGGGATGAAAACCAGAACTGTGCTGTGCTGTGCTGTGCTGAGCTGTGCTGTGCTGTGCTGTGCTGCGCTGCGATGTGCTGTGCTGCGTGAGAAGGAGAAAGAGGAGGAGGGGTGAGGAGACGCGGGTGCGAACATGTGGGGAATGAACGCTCCCTCCAAATTCCCTCTTCACAAGTCCCGTCACTGGTATACATTCATTGCGGGTAGTGCGCCATTCGAAGAGAACCATTTGATAATTCACAACCGTGCCTAAGACATCAGTCCTGATACTTTAACTCTGCAAATCAACATGACTGCTGGGGTCCTGACAATCCTGAACCGTGCCAGAACACAAGTCCTTGGACTTCAACCCCGCGAGTCAACGTTACTTGCGGCCGGACAGCCCTCAGTCGTGCCAGAATGCCAGTCCTGGGACTGCACCAATACGTTGTCTGTTCTTGAAAATTCCCTGGGGTTGTTTTTGTTACCGTTCTGCACTTTGGGGGGCTCGAGACAAGCTACAAACGCTACACACAAATCTACGTGGTCGTAGCGTTTTCTTTGCTGCGTTGCTCTTAGCGTTGTCAGGCTCGTCGCCGTGGACCTCCATTTGTCTGGCGATTGCTGGACTTCTTGTCTAGGCCTGTTCCTCGTCTTCACTGCCGTCTCCGCTTCCGTCCTCCTGCTCCCGCCGCCCCCCGTTGCTCCCGCTCCTCGGGTCGGGCGAAAGGGGGGGATAGCAGAGGGGGGGGTTTGAGTATCAACTCACGCAGCTGGTCGCCCCGGCGCCTCCTGGCGCCGGAGGCGGCCATGTATCGAGGAGTGGGCCCCTCGGTGAGGCCGAAACCCGCTGCATGCCGCAAATTTCGTACCCCCCCCTCTCCCAATCCCCCCCCCCAGGAGAGCCCAGAATCGAATCGATAAATCGGATCGGCAATCGACATGAATCGGATGGGCGAAAAATCGGCAGCCGAATCGGGAAAAGTCGAATCGGCGGAAATCGGCAGGCTAGTATGCCTCCAATAAGAAATCGGAATCCAAATCGGAAGCCCAAGTCGAATCGAATCGGAATCGGAATCCATCGAAGTCGAATCGAATCAAATCGGAGGAATCGAAACGAGCCCTGCCCCCCTATCGACCGGCCCGAGCTCCGCGCGCAGAGCGCAAAGCAAAAAACAAACACACGCAGACAAAAAAAGCCCGAACGCCGGCCGGGCACCGGCGCGGAGCAGGCCCCGGGGGCCCCGCGACCAAGCGACAGCGACGACCAGAGCAGAGCCACGTGGCTACAGCAGAGAGAGATCGGGAGGACAGGGACGCCATGAGAGGGAACTGAGGACGTGGTAGAGGAAGGGGCCCCAGGACACACACAAAACAGATGCACACAGATGAAACTATGCCGCATCGTTTCCCATGTTTTGGCTGCTGTCCCCCCCCCCCACTTCCCATATGTTCCCATACGCGAAACAGCGCAATGAACTGATTAAAAAGCGCAAGAGCATGGGGCTGAAAACACAAAAGAACTGGTGGCCAGACAGCCGAGGCGACAGCGCAGCCCACGCGTGCCCGAAACAGCATAGACGCATCACATTCAATGGGGAGGAGAGGAAGGAGGAGGAGGAGGAGGCGGAGGAGGAGGAGGAGGAGGGGGAGGAGGATGGCGACCGCCAACACACCGAGTTCAAAACTGTAAACGCCCAGGTCATATTTAAGAAGAACCACGACCAATACGATGACTTGCAGCTGTTGTGGACTTTGACTCACATGTGCCTGGCACTAAAGCGAGAACATCTTTAAAAAATGAACCACCCTCCATCACTGGAACCGTCGCGAACTTTTCAGGATCGTACATGGTGAGAAATCTCAGGCGAGACGCAAGTCGCGCCCTACCGGAACGTCTGGGAGTGCGACGGGGGGGGAGTCAGTTCTATAGAAAAGGGGATGGAAAAGTGAAGGAGGAGGAGAACGAGGAGGAGGAGGAGGAGGAGGAGGAGGAGGAGGAGGAAAGGAAAAGAAGGAGGAGAAGGAGGAGGAGGAGGAGAGGAGGAGGAGGAGAGGAGGAGGAGGAGGGAGGAGGAGGAGGAGGAGGGAGCAGGAGGAGGAGGAGGAGGAGGAGGAGGAGGAGGAGGAGGAGGAGGAGGAGGAGGAGGGAGGATGAGGCGGAGGGAGGAGGAGGAGAAGGAGGAAGAGGAGTCGACGCAATTAGCAATCAGCCTGAAGAGGCCGCGAAGGACGGAGGGGGGGCCGGGAAGAGATCCCGAGCTGTTTTTTGACGGTCTGGGGGCCCGCTCGGGGGGCCGAGCGGTGCCAAAAACCGCCCGCCGAGGCTGCTTCGCGACGCGAGGATGTGCAGCGCGCAGAGGGGGGAGGTGCAGCGTCGACCTGGGATATCGGCGATGCACCCAGACGTCGGTAACAGGGGATGCGTCGACCCCAATCCCAGGCTCCGTGAGGTTTTCGAGAGGATCAACAATTTGGGGCCCAACCCTGGGATATACGAGGGGGGGGGGCGTCCATCCTCGACAGGGGTGCGTCCGAATAGCCCCCTCGGGATGTATCCCAAGATTCCTCCCCTTTTCTGAGCGACCAAACTTTTCTGGCGGAAGTCGGGGATTGGGGGAGAGAAATCGCCTGCGAGTCGGGCGTCTCGAGAAAAAATCGAGGCAGCTGTTTTTCATAATGTTTGGCCTCTCGGGGCCCTCGCCGGGCCTCGGGGCCGTCAGAAAACGACCAGGGATGAAAAGCCGACCCCACGGAAGTGGTCGGGAGGGGGGGCGGCTCCTTAAATGGAGGCTGCTGCTCAGAAGGCGCAGGCCTCACGTCCACAGGCAAGGCCAGCGCCTTCCAAGGAGCAGCCTGCTTCTACGAAGCCTCTCCCTCTCCACTCTACGCCCCCCTGCGCGTGGCCGAAAGGAGTCTGGGGCCCTCTCCCCGCCGGCGCAGGCGACGAACGAAAGCCGGCGCGTCAAGGGGCGGCGGCGCCGCGACGAGGGCCGCGTCGGCGAGCACCAGGCCTGCTGCGCCTGCAGCGGCGTCGGCGCTCGCGCAGGCGCCGCCTGCGCAGCCTGAGGTCGGGGGGGCGGGCGTGTGAGCGTCGGAGGGAAGGGCGGGCCTCGCTACGCGGCGCCCCTCTTTCGGGCCCTGTTGGGCAGTCTTGGGGGCCTCTTGGGCAGCCTCGGGGCCATCTTTGGCCGTCGGGGGGCGCTCTTGGGAGAGACTCTGGGACCGTCTTGGGGCGGTCTTGGGGGCCACTTGGACCGTCTTGGAGCGTCGAGAAGTCCGAAAAGGCGAGACCACTGAAATCCTTCAACAACCTACACACAATCTATGGCGTTGGCATCTCGGGGCTCTCTTGGGGGGCCTCTTGGAACCCTCTCTGAGGCATCTTGGGGGCCTCGTGGACCGTCTGTGGGCCATCTTGAGCGTCTTGGAGCGATGATAGGGCAACCTGGGGCCCTCTTGGCCAGTAATAGGGGCCCACGAGCATCTGGAAAAGGCACGCGGGGAGGCCTGAGAGCGCGCAGGAGCGCGCATCATATTAGAACAACAGCACCACTGCATACGTCATACAGAGGACCCTTAGAAGCTTGAGGAACACTTCACTTGGTGCCTCGAGGCACGGTGACGGATGACAGGCTATAACAGAAGACACGGTACCATATGAGACAAATAAACTTTAGAAACATATTCGAAAAACATACGCAACAAATCCCCCGACCCTTCGGCGGGTGGAAGACGCTGTCGTCGTGAATCTCAAAGAAACTGGGGAACACGGCAAAAGAACGTCGAAATTATATTGAGAGAAGATCTCCCCCCTTAATCCCTTCCCTTCCGTGTGTGTAGGTGTGTGTAGGTGTGTGTACATGTGGGTATGTGTATGTGTATGTGTATGTGTATGTGTGTGTGTGTGTGTGTGTGTGTGCGGGGCGGGCTAGGGAAGGGGAGGAGGGGGGGGGGCGGGGTCCTGGCTCAGAATGCCGCCCCCCCGGAGTCCTGGGGGGTCCCAGGGAGGGCCTTCAGCAGGGGTCCCGGGGGAAATTTCGCCTTCCGGGTCGGCGCCACTGGCCGTACGGCATGTGCCATAAACAGGACCCTGATATATTTAATAACGCATATGCGAACATCCGAAATAAAACGGTATGTACCATACTATAATAAACCGCACTGCCCTTACAAGAGGAGCATAAAACAACGCTGCATCATAGCATTATATATGTTCATAGAACAACATGCAACGGAACACAATACAAGAAACATGGCACACGGTAATGCAATTGGGAAAGAACATACTAACACTTACGAGCATAGACCAAACAAACATCGCACACAATGTAATATTGATCTACTTTGCAGACTTGCATGTTGCACGATGAAATATATTCCACCATTTGTTCCGCCTCCATGTGCTCCGTCCGCTTCCTCAACGCATGTGTGCACACATCGATTCCGTAAACGCGCGCACCGTCGGGGACAAACGCCAAAGGCTTTGGTGAGGATCACTCGAAGCAAATGTTTGACTCACTATGGACCGCACTGTCTGATTTACCCTTGTCTCAGATCGGGTCAAGCACAAGGAAAGATCTACTTTCTCTTCGGATCACTGTGCCGCCCCATGGACATCGAACGTCATCTTGTTCTGGCTGTAGTGGGGATTCTTGAACACATTGGCTGGAATGTAGCCTTGATCATTGCGCAAGCGTTCTCAATATATACGCCAATTAGTACGCGGAACCGTATACTCCAAGGGTGCGCCAGAGCAATAGCACCTTTCGCGCTGTGTCCACAACTTGTCCAGAAGGCCATCGAGAGTCAGTGCGTATGCCTGCTCGCGTCTCCCCAATCAACACCACACTTTGTCCATGACAGAAGCCAGAAGACCACGCAGAATTAACCTGGAAATCCGCACGTCTTCCAAATGGCAACTCTTACAACGACTTTGACGCTCATGATCGAATGCCTCGAGCGTTTTGTACCAGCGGCACGGAGACCACAGTATCTCACCAGAAAGAATTGGTTCTCTTCGGCCACATCGGAAATTCTGAGGGAGATGTCGGCGCTCATGCTTTCGTGATCTTTCGTGATCGGCACTCAGCCAAAGAACGCTTTAGTAGTGCAAAACACCAACGCTTCTGGACAACCAAGAAGCGAAAATGTCAAGACGAAACGGAAGCACGCCGGCTCACTATTGCAAAATACTACGTGGCACGATAATGCATGTATATAAGCATTGCTGTGCCGAGTCATCAAGCGGACATGTGACGTGGATGCTCAAGCTCGTGATTTTTCGCAGGCGCGCAATATGCAGCCATCAATGCAACACGCACCCTCTGAGGCCAAAGAGGCTTGACCCAAAACGGCCACGAAACATGATCTTGAACTGTGATTGCGGGGTGGTTTGAGCAGTGCTGCATGAAATCAGGTCTCATCTGAACAAAATCCGCCCCGCCCCGCATGCCAGGGGTGAGACTGCGTCTGAGACGGTCGGCCGGCCCCCTCGCCCTTGTACCCCTCCCTAGGGAGACCCTCTGAGCCCTGAGCTCGTCAAAGGCCCGCCCGGGCCCCAGAGACTCACTGGCCATCGCTCGGACATCCATTCCCTCTGCTTTTTTCGGTTCCGTGTGTGGCTTTGTCGCAGGATGATCCAGGATGCTCCTCGATGATCCCCGCCGAGGGAAAGTGCACACGTCCGAGCGATATCGGGAGCGGCAAAGAGGGGGGCGTCAAAGAGGGGGGGGGTGCAAATCATGACCGGCGGCATGTGCGCGGCCCAGCGGGGGGGCCAGGGACGTAATGAAATAAGAAGAGGCGCCATGAAATCTGGGGAAATATCACAGCCCACGCCATGATATCCACCCCCCCCTAGTCATCACCCCCCTCTTTGCCGCCCCCGAGCGATACCAAGCCCAAGACCGTGAGCGACGGCTCGGGATAGCTCGGGCTGGCCCCCCCAGACTGCGCAGGCCGGCCCGGGTTGGACCAGGATGGCCTCCGACGCTCCCCCGACAGGCTCTCGTGAAGGGGCCCACGGACACACACACACACACACACACACACACACGCACACGCTCACGCACACGCACACGCACACGCACACGCACACGCACACGCACACGCACACGCACACGCACACGCACACGCACACGCACACGCACACGCAACGCACACGCACACGCACACGCACACGCACACGCACACGCACACGCACACGCACACGCACACGCACACGCACACGCACACGCACACGCACACGCACACGCACACGCACACGCACACGCACACGCACACGCAC